ACGATTCGCTCGAGCGAACACTCGAATAGTCGTTCAAGTGACTCGAGACACCGAGACATTCACCGCGAAGCTGTTTATCGGGTCATAAATGAGTTTTCATTCGTATTTTCCACCTCTTACCTTGAGTTTGAGTAGTGCTTCAGGATAAACACCGAGGGAAGCTAGAGTCTGATCTGATCCAGTCAATTCACGCTCATCCAGCATCAGATGTTGATCAAAAGGTGGAGCCTTAAAAATTCCCATTGTCTGTAAGAAAAAAAATAAAAAATCTCATTCCCAGAATAAAAAAAAAAGACACCATCAAAATTTGAAATTCACATGACATTTTTATTCCCCAACATGTTATCACAAAAATATCCCGCATAAAAGTCAGTCGACTGCGTTAAAAACTTCAAATTTCATCACGTGGAAATCCGCAAGAAAAAAAAAGGAATTCCATTTTTTAATTTTTTTTTTTTTACATTCTTTAAACGATAAGTTGGCGCCTTTGAATTTCCAGCGGCGCATGCGTCTGTACCGGTAATTGCTTAATTTGTGGAAGGCAGAAAGAGTACATTGTCCCCCCCCCTCCCTCCCCCTCCCTTTCCCTGGCACTGCAAGGTTTAACAGTTTTTCATCCCTTTTGTTTTTATTTATTTCTCTCTTCTTATTATCTTCTTTACAAAGAATGATTATGGTGAAATGGTGGTCAAGGAAACATATTCAGTTTGGTTTTACGATCGAAGGTTGGAAACAACGGTAAGTACATAGCAGAGAAGGATAAGTAAGTCGTTGGAGTCCAATTAAGATGAGGAAACTGTTGAAAAAAAAAAATAAAAATTACCCCCCGCTTCATTGCAATGATAGAACGGTATGAATTTATGAATTGAAAGGTGTAATGAATTTATTTGACGCGAAATTGTGAAAAATTTGGGACGAATACTGAGAGATGCCTCAAACCTATTATTATCCCAAGTTTATGATCCTTCTTATGTTTTTGTTTTGAGTTCTTGTCCAACTCTCAGGTGAATAAAAAATGAGGAAAAAAAAAAAGAAAAATATTTACGAGAGGCGCCCTAAGATCCCACCGATAATCCAGTTGATGATTTTAGAAGGAATATTTATGTGACTTTGTGGAAACGATTAATGAAGGAATAACTCACCATTACTTTGAGCTCTTTCAGGGTTATTTGAGATGACACTTTTAACTCGTGCGATCCTTTAGCTCTTCTCCTTGTTCTAGAACACCTCGAACTCTTCACAGTACTCTGTTGGATCATTCAAAGAAACCATGGCAATATGAATAAAAAAATAAACACGTGAAGATTTAAAGTGATTTTCGAGGGACAGGTGTGTGTTTTAGAGTACTTTGCCACACTCAGACGTCCAATTCACGCGATAATAACAATTATTACCAGTGAAACGAATGAGGAACGGAGGGCTGTTATATTCACCACCATCAATCAGTCGTAGATCCTCGGGAATCAAGTGACTCGACAATTTTTACAACTCGTTTCGTCTTAATTCATGAGAAAATTAAGAGGCAGAAAAAAAAAGCTCTTTAAGTTGGTCCAGGTGTCATTTACTGTTTTTCAATTACCACTAGATCTATTTTTATCTTCTTCATTGTTAAAACTGTTAATTCCATTGTGGAAGGGTAAGGTAGAGTGAGATCGAATAATTATACTAACGTCATTATCATCTCCTTCGTCTATGCACTTAATGTATATCGTTGCTTTATCATAATTTAATGTATCTAGACGCTCCTGCTCGATCCTCGCCTGCATACACTCGTGGCATTCATCTGAAATCACAAAAGGTCTTCGATATTAAATTTGCCTTTAAAAAACCTTGAAGGTTTGACCGATTAATAGACAAGAGGATGACGAAAGGATTGAACTAGATGATCAGAATGGTATTAAGGATGTTTTCCTGGTATTTTGTTATTTTTCCCGTTTTTCTGAGATTTTTTGAAAACTATCGATCGGATTGGGATATGAAAATAT